TTTCCATTCTCCCAATAATATCCCTATATGAGCTATAGTCTAAACTCCTTAAAGGGGGTTTATAGGGGATTATATAGGGGACTACTATAGGGGTTATTAAGGGGGATACTAGGAGTTTACACTATAGCCCATATAACAGCAACTCAGGAACGAACGGCAGAGGCTGCGCCGGGAGCTTGACGAACAGAGGCGGGCTTTGGCCGACGAGGCGCTGAGGTTTTGGATCAAGGTTGGTTTAGGGTTTAGGGATTTAGGGTTTAGGGTTTAGGGGCTTTTACGGTTTAGGTTTAGTAGGAAATCATGGACGGTTTCGGTATGGTAGGGAAGAATAATTAGGGTCCCTTGAAATCGGGGTCTAGGGGGATGTATACGATATATGGTGACTTTATAGGGGTATATCAGGGTTTTAGGGCCCAAGTACTATAATGTTAACGGTATTTGGGCCCTAAAACCCTATCATTTGGGTCCTTGGACCCTTAGGGGAATTAATGGAGAAGCAAATGAAAAAATGAAGTGGGACAGGAAATGGAAACTGGAGGTTAGTCTGGATGTACAGGGTTTACGGAAGTTAGAGGCTACGAAAGCTGTCTTTTAGTAGGGAATAAATTAATGGAAAAGAGAATGGAAGCTATCATGTGGGCTTTAAGGCTAAGGGCACAGCAAACAACAGTTTTTTTTCTTTCATGTTATTGGGGAATACATATTCCCTGCTGACGACCAAGCAAGTACTGGGTTTAGGGTTCAGGGTTTGGGGTTTAGGGTGCAGGGGGAACCCTTTAGTCATTGCTGGTCCGCCTTCCCTTCTTTGGTATCACTTGCCCTGGGAGTGTTTGCCTTCAATGGTCTACGAGCACGCGTTGAGCTGGAATTGCTTGAGATGCGTCAGGCCTTTTCCGGTCTCTGTATCGTTGCCCTAACATGTGGGGTCCAAGTGAAGCAACCACGCTTGCAGGGGCACAAAAGCTGCAAATGACGGCTCAAGAGCTAGCAACCCGCAAAGGTTGGTGGACGCCAAGTCCTAAACGCCCTAAGCTCTTGTTCACAAACCCTGGACTTAGTGAACCCTATCAGCAGCCAGGTCGAAGACAATTCCCTCCGAAAGCGTCACCGCGCTCGGATTGATCAGGACTGGGTCGGCCTTAGCGGGAAAGTGTTTGCCCAGTGGCAGGGACATAGAACATAAAAGTTGCAGAATGCGGCGAGCAATCAAATTCTATCTTCGTAAAGTGGCTACAAGAGACAGCTACGTAGAAGGGGTCTTCTAGAGTTTGCGACAGGTAGCGGAAGCTGCCAAAACCTTTCAACCTCAATCTAAAACTAAACCGTCCTGCCCTGCCGTAACGCTTAGGGTTTTAGGTTTTAGGGTTTACCCAGACCCTCCTATGTAGTTCCTTTTTGGGGTAGTATATTAGAATTCCTTACTAAAAAACCATAACAGACCCAAAAAGGAACTACATAGGAGCCCTTGGGTAGGGCCCTGCCTTGGCATACAGCAGTCTGTTTCAGAGGTTTTGCTGTCTTTACATACAGATCCCCGATTTTCAAGGAAATCCAACGAAGGACAGTCATGAAGCACAACGTGTTTGTTGACAGAGGCCTGTATAAGAGTTTCTCCAACAACTCATTACCCACACCCTCCAACCACTCTCTGGTTTAGGGCTTGCGGTTAGTTCAGGCCTATGTACGCGCCATTAGGAACGCCCCAGAACCCCAAGTCAGAGTGCCGGGAGGGTGTTGGTAGACAATTCTTGGCAGGCACCCCATCCAAAGACGTTTAGTTTGTACCCTTAAGGGTCATATTCCGTAATTCAGGGACCCAAACCGAAGGGTACAAACCATAAGGGTGCAAAGGACACGTCCTGACCCCTTCAACCTCCTTATCATTCCCACTGGCTGTAAGACGTCCCTAGGGGCCTTCACGGGTTTCAAGAAATTCTGGCTCCAGATTCCTTGTATGACCATGGTAGAGACTAACTACCTCCAGTAGACTTCAAAATGATAGGGATTTGGGTTTAGGGTTCAGTGTTTAGGGTATATAGTTCCCCTTAAGTGGATAGAATATGGCTTTGGGTATATTATAATAAGATCCCCATATATCATATACCCCATATTCTATCTACTGAAGGGGGACTATAGCCTTTATTAGCAGGATCTCGACGGCCTCCATTGCCCCAGGGGCCTGCGACCTCTGTCTGTGTGCTCTGGTGCGCAAGCGACGCGTGGCGAAAGTATTGACTTCGGACACACTGTCGCTGGGTCGTTTGAGCAATAATCTAAACTGCATCAAGGGGGTTATGTAGGGGATCATATAGGGACAATTATAGGGGTTATTAAGGGGGTACTAGGAGTTTTTCATTATAGGTCATTTTGGGAACTATAGCTGTAATTTGCAAAGCTTGTATACACACATAGATACATGATGCATCTATGTATATAGTGCAATGGTCCAGCGTGCAATGTATATAGCGCCAAGGTCCAGCGTGCATTGTTAGGGTTTAGGGTTTAGGGCTTAGGGCTTAGTGCTTAGGGCTT